CTAAGCTCACCCTATCTCTGGTGTTTTTTTTTTTATCTAAGCTCACCGTATCTCTGGTGTTTTTTTTTTTATCTAAGCTCACCGTATCTCTGGTGTTTGTTTTTTTATCTAAGCTTACCGTATCTCTGGTGTTTTTTGTTTTTTTATCTAAGCTCACCCTATCTCTGGTGTTGTTTTTTATCTAAGCTCACCGTATCTCTGTGTCCTTCCAATGCTGCTACTCGCAGTGCAGTTTTTCCATCATGAGACTTTACATCTATCATGTTTCGGCTGACATCCAGTAACTTGGATACCAGTGAACTGTGACCTTCTTGAGCAGCTAAGATCAAGGGCACTCGACCATCATTGTCTACTTCTGTGACTCTAGCACCAGCCTCAATAAGTTGCTGACAGACATCTACGTGGCCTTCGAAAGCAGCATAATGAAGTGGAGTCCAGCCACCATTGTCCCTGTGCATTTCATCCAATCCTCGGTCAAGAAGTTGTCTCACCACATCTGTGTTGCCCTGAGCAGCAGCAATAGACAGAACTGTTCGGCCTTCCGGGTCAATAAAGTCGATCGCAGCACCCCAGAAGAGAAGTAGGTTCACTACAGCTGGATGGCCCATGGATGCTGCTGCAAACAGCGGAGTGCGGCCACTGTTATCAGTATTATCTACGTCAGCATCTCCTTCAAGTAAGAGTTCACAGACTTCACTGTGACCCTCAAAGGCTGCGACCAATAGCGGGGTCATACCATCCTTGTCCCTGTGGTCAACTTGGGCACCACGTTCCAGAAGAAGACTTACAACGCTGGCATGGCCCTCGGAAGCTGGAACACAGAGGGCGGCTACCGAGAGAGCCGTTCTTCCGTCCGTGTCTTCGTGGTTTATTTCGGCACCATGATCCAAGAGGTGACTGATGATCTCGGCGTGACCCATGTACGCAGCAGCAATCAGAGCCGTTCTGCCCTCATTGTCTACCTTGTTGACATTGGCCTTGTACTGCAGCAACCGCAACACAATCTCTTCATGTCCACCCCAGGCTGCTGCTCGCAAGGCTGTCCGGTGGTCAGCATCTTCCAGGTCTACATCAGCTCCCTTGTTAAGCAGAGATATGACAACCTACACCAGAAGAAGTTAAAGTTATTACTGTGAAGAAAAATGTAACAAAATAAACAGTCTAAAAAGGGTTCGGTAATAAAAATAACGCAACATCCTTTCATGACTGAAAAATGCACGAGGTTTGTAAATAGTCTGCAGGCTGATGTTGTATCTCAATTCTTTGTTTAAAAAATTAGATAATAAAAGTTAATTTGTACTAACAGAATTATGCTGTTCTTCTATCAATAAAACAGTTTTACTGGCTAAGCTGAGACATATTCATAAGTATTCCACTAAGCAACGACAACCTCCGATCAATATAGCAGCCTCACGACGTGTGGAAATTAGTTCAATTAAATTTACTAAAACTCTTCTTGCTAGCTAGCCTGAACTTGTTTATAATTAATATGCAGTTTTCTAATTTAAACTTTAAAACATTAACTTAGTTTTTTCCATTACATATATTTGAAGTCTATGTTCAACAATATGGTTTGAAAATGTATTACAGTGTTTATAACACTACAAGTCTAGACCACTAACAGTATCAGAGTCATAGCAGCCACTAGGGTCACACAAAGATATCTGTTAGCTTGTCTATGTATACACAGAACAGCAGGCATTGTGAGAGACTGGACAGGAGCTCTAACAAGCATTCACAAAATTCATATGTGAAGAACTCCATATGATTTCTTCAGTCATTTAAATATTTTTATTCTAGTTAAAGAAGTAACTGTCCGAACTTTAAGCCTGCAAAGCCTGCCTAGTTATTCCCGAGGATATAAATTAGGTTTGTAACACAGTTCACGTAAGTACATTAACATTACCTTCTGATCAGAACAAGCTGTCCCCTTAGATCAACATGGTAATGAGCTCAGCTAACTGAATACACAATAATAATAATAAAATAACTGGTTTAGTTAGTGCTGTAATTTTATACACTGTTCGAGCATAACTAAAGTACATAAAACATTTTGTGTCCATTATATAACTTTAAAAACACCGAGGGTTGAGTATTGCCTTGTAATACAAACTATTTTCTTCCAAGTAAATACAACCTGGGATTAATCAGATCTGTAAGGATACTTTCACTTAACAGTAAAACAACGCATTTATCGAACATCTTAAATATAATCTGTAGAGGTACGTTTAGGATCACTCACGTCAGTGTGACCTGCCCATGCAGAAGACCGTAATGGGGTCCAACCTTCATTATCAGCATGGTCGGGGTCGCTACCACCGTTTAACAACAATTCCACAACCTGCGAGTGTCCCTGTCGAGCTGCTGCAATTAAAAAAGGTGAAACTTAATTTAATAGTTTATCTGCAATGTATTTATATCTCAAAGTATCAGATTAACTGTCATGACCTTTAAGGTTCATACATTATGCTGCAATTAAAAAAGGTGAAACTTAATTTAATAGTTTATCTGCAATGTATTTATATCTCAAAGTATCAGATTAACTGTCATGACCTTTAAGGTTCATACATTATGCTGCAATTAAAAAAGGTGAAACTTAATTTAATAGTTTATCTGCAATGTATTTATATCTCAAAGTATCAGATTAACTGTCATGACCTTTAAGGGGGTTGTTATGTAAATCCTGTTGATACTGGTAACTGTACCATCCATAATGTGTGAACCTGGTCAAAAGTACAACCAACCATTAGTTCAATTGTTATGTAAATCCTGTTGATACTGGTAACTGTACCATCCATAATGTGTGAACTTGGTCAAAAGTACAACCAACCATTAGTTCAGTTGTTATGTAAACCCATTGATACAGGTAACTGTACCATCCATAATGTGTGAGCCCTGGTCAAAAGTACAACCAACCATTAGTTCGGTTGTTATGTAAATCCTATTGATACAGGTAACTGTACCATCCATAATGTGTGAAGTACAACCAACCATTAGTTCAATTGTTATGTAAATCCTGTTGATACTGGTAACTGTACCGTCCATAATGTGTGAACCTAGTCAAAAGTACAACCAACCATTAGTTCTTTTGACCAAGTTCACACATTATGGATGGTACAGTTACCAGTATCAACAGGATTTACATAACAATTGAACTAATGGTTGGTTGTACTTTTGACCAAGTTCACACATTATGGATGGTACAGTTACCAATATCAACAGGATTTACATAACAACTGATTGTATATTTAAAGAACACTATTATTAGCATATAGCTGATTGTTAACAATGTACTCTAATTTTGATCATAATGTTCAGAGAAGATATACTAGGGTAATATTGTTTGTAGGACATCATTAAACTGCTTTCATTATCGTACCTGTTGTGTTTTCCTAGAATTAAAAAAAATTGTTATTATTTACTGACATTTTTACAGTTAACTCTGCTAGTTATAGATACCTCCAAATATTTCTGGGAGAAACACGATAAAAATCACAGATATGTTTATAGTAAAGTTAAAGGGCAAAAAAAGAATATTTTGTCAAAACCCTTATTGTGAAATGTCATTTCTCTCTACTGTTTTATTAAGTGTAATGATTAAAACCTTAAACCATGCAAGTTTGTAATTTATACCAAACAATGAAGACTTAATGAGAAATTACCTAAATTCAAAGGTGTCTGGCCGTTCTTATCTACTGCCTCAAGGTCGGCTCCCCGAGCAATGAGTCTTGCCACTAGGTGATCATCCCCTTCGTATGCAGCACTGTGCAACAACGTCCGCTGGTTATGATCTAATTGGTTAATTGATCCTCCAGTCTGTAGCAGCAGCTCCAGAGGATCATCTGGTGACTTTAGTCCCACTGCATCACTCCGATTCTCATCAATATCATCAGCAGGCAACTTTGCGCCCGCTTCGACTAGCAACTTTGTAACTCTAGAATCTTTGGGAAGTGTCTGAGAAAAGGCATGGTCTATAGGAGCACCAGACGTTAGAAGCCATAATGGTAAGTGATACGACTGTAGTGTTGAACACTGGGGAATCTTAAGTAAGTGAAACACAAAGTCATGAAGTTCACTAGGAGAAAGATGTCGAGGAAAACACGTGTATTTCATGGCCAACATAGCGTGGCCTTCAGAAGCATGGCACAAGTACTTCTGAGTACAGTGTTTGACATCCAACAGCCATTCTGCAAAACTGTGGTGAAACAGAATCTTTGTACCATTCTTATCTTCAATCAACAGTTTTTCTAGCAATGCTAAACGTTTCTGGAATTCCTCCCAAGTTAACTGAGTATTTCGAGTCCAAGCACACTGGAAAAGTTCTTCCTCTGTTAAAGGCTTTCGCGTTGCTAAGATAACATTAAGTAGCGGCTGGACTTTAGAAAACTGCTTCCTAACAAACAACCTTTGACATAGCCACAGATAGAGACCATTTAATGTTCCCGGGATTTCCCTGATTTCTCGTAACATTATAAAATTTTCAGATACTCCGTCTAAAACTTTTTCGAGATACATAAAACAACCATTACTTTTTATGTGGAGCTGGTTCAGCATTTCCGCAGTCTCCCGGCTCAGGTGCTGCCGAAGATGTTCCTCCTCGTCCAATCTGGAAAGAATATACTGCTGGACGTCTCTCACTACGTGCGACTTCCGCAGGTCATCCAGACTGATCTTCCTGAACCCAGTAAACAACCGTGTGACGCTCCTTCCTTGCTTGCGGGCAGAACAGACTAGAAGCAGCCACTGGGGAAAGAGATGGTGATGATTTGCCAGAAGCTCAGCAATAGTTCTGCTTGTGCTACTTTTTTCTCCTACAGGTTGGAAAAACGATTCGTCGATTGAGTCCACCAGAATAAAGTACGCCTGATTTGGTGGTTCAATTTCTAATAGAGGAAAGAGGACAGCTTTTTTAAATACTTCATCAGGATTGCGTTCACATTCCGTTGCATTGAGAACTGCTTGAATTTCAGGATCTTTAAGTTTCTCGCTGTAGCCGGAAATGTGATCAGACACACACATCTGCTCAACAAGACTAAGTATAAATCCTGATAAGGAAATTGTGTCAGTATCGTGAGCCTGACAGAAATGGTAGGATAACACCCTTTGACTGAGGTGCTGCTGTTTGCCATGCTTCATAGTAGGCCACACAATTTCACAGCAGAGAGCAGTTTTTCCACATCCTGGACCCCCCATAATGAGAGCCCCACAAGTCTTGGATGCTGACCGATTGTCGAGACAATGGACAATTTTTGCAAAGGTCCACTCTCGACAGAAGAACCGCTTTCCTTGATGAAGGCTTTGAGTCATGGTGACTTTCTGCTTTCATAACTTGCCCTTCACATATTGGGAACTTGCACAGATCTGGAGAAAAAAAAAAAGTATAAAGAAGCCAGAAAACCATCATGATTATTTGACAGTTGTATACCTCTAATACATATTTCTAAGCTCTATTTTTATTTATCTATGTATCTTAATGTTAAACGTTTTTCCTATTTTAGGTCATATATCTGGATTTTACACTTTTCTCTGAGTAGTACTTTAGCATGTTTTATTTGACATTTAACATCAGTAATGAACCTTGTTAAACCTGAAATACATTCCGGTACCCGAGAGTTAAAATGACGGTCTGGACACAATTCCAAGCAATTAAAAAACACTGTCAAATCCAAAAGAACTGTATCGGTCGAATCAATGTCAGTATTCGTACAGCACATTTCATATTTTTATTTTATTTATATATAAAAAAAAGTTAAATAGTTGTTACAAACCAGTTGATGAAACTTAAAATATCAGTCAAAGCTATATAATTAAGATTACCAACTGTTCCACGTCTCATCTAACATTAAATTAGGGTAAAGAAACATGTATAAAGTGAATTTGAAAATGTTTCCAATTTCATGATATAACTGGGCCTACTCCAGTAACTTAGCAGAAAGCTTGAGGGCTAAAATTTGTGGTTTGTTCACTGCGATGGATAGACAATTCAATGTATAGTTTTCTGCTTAACAACACACCAAACAAGAGGATTAGTAAGCATGAACAAAACATTTTTTAATTTCTGAAGACAATATCTTTTCACTCCTAATTATTAAAAAATGTCACACTCCAGTTATTAAGGTCCAACAAACCCAATAAACCTCCAGGATCTCAGGTTAAGATCCAACAAGCCTGATAAACCTCCAGAATTTCAGGTTAAGATCCAACAAGCCTGATAAACCTCCAGGATTTCGGGTTAAGATCCAACAAGCCTGATAAACCTCCAGGATTTCGGGTTAAGATCCAACAAGCCTGATAAACCTCCAGGATTTCAGATTAAGATCCAACAAGCCTGATAACCCTCCAGGATTTTGGGTTAAGATCCAACAAGCCTGATAACCCTCCAGGATTTTGGG